TAGAATTAGGTCATTATCATGGTATACCTAAACCACATAAAGTAAATTTATGTCAATCAATATATTAATATTTATACATTTATTCTTTTCTTTTCTTACAGCCTGAAACACCATTACGACCCATAGTAGCAAGTATACATGCACCTGCAACATTGGTGTCGAAGTTTTTGAACGAACTTTTAGCACCAATCTATTTGAAAGTTAATCGTAAATATACATTTATTAATGATATAGATGTTATTCGACAACTAGAAAAATATGCTGCAGATGGTTATCTTACATCAAAAACAAAATTTATTACTATCGATGTTGAAAATCTTTATACAATGATACCTCGAGATGGTGCATTAACAGCATTAGCTCGATTTTGTGTTAAATATTTTTGTCAAGGCAAAATTGGCACATTTACAATAGATCATATAATGAAAATGGCTCGTTTGATTTTGGATACGAACTGTTTTGCTTATAATAATAAATATTATAAACAAATTCGTGGTGGAGCTATGGGTTCAGCATTTACACAAGTTTTAGCAAACATATATCTCATGGAATGGGAACAAGATTTAATTCAACATCAAATACAACATTATGAAGTCTATGGAAGGTTAGTAAACTAATTATGATATTCATAAAAACATATAATCTTGTCATTTGTATAGATATATCGATGATATTTTCATGACAACAAATAAATCCATCGATGAAATTAATATTGAACTTGAAAAAGCCAAACACAAAGATATTAATATCAAAATTGAACCGACAATAAGCAACTCTGTTCATTATCTCGATGTAACTATTACAAACGAAAATGGTCAATTAAGGACATCTATGTTTCATAAACCAACTGCTGAACCTTATATATTACCATATAAATCAGATCATCCACGTCATATACATCGAAATATTGTCTATGCAACATTATTACGTGCTACTCGTATCTGCTCACATGTGAATGATTTTAATTCCGAATGTGCTCGTATTGATCTTTCACTATTATTAAATGGTTATCCACCACACTTTATTACACAACAAGTCAATCGATTCTTTTATTTAAACAATGCAGTACCTGTATTAAAACAATTCAATGAATACGTATACTCTCATCTACATCACAAACTATTATATCAACCAACACTTCGTGAGAAAAAACTTCAAGTAATGATGGAAGATCCAATTAAAACACCATTGGTATTACAGCCGAAAATATGGAACAAAGAAATAATGTATCCACGTTATTTATTCGATACTTCATTGACAATCAACTTCCGACAAGAATTCACAAATTGGTGGAAAACATATTATGCATTTTCCAGATCACCACTTGAACAAATTAAAGTACGACTAATTCCTATTACTGGTCGTACACTTGAAACTTTTTTCATACATAAAAAACCTTCACGAGCAATGTTAACAAAAATGGAATGAAGATCTTGAACAACAGAACATCACAATATCTTACAAAACACAAATACAAGTTTTTTTAAATATCATCTTGAATTTTAATACTAGTTTTATGTAAAAAAAACAAATTCACTTCTAGTTTGTCATTTTCTTTAGAAAAACCTTTACCATAAAATATATTCATTTGTATATTTCAATGAATAATATTCCGTTTTACTTCAGATTAAAATATTTTCATTTACAACATAGAAAAAATTTCAAGCCAACTTATACATAGAACAGAAAAGAAGAAAAAAGTTAGCCTGGATTAATTTGAATTTCCCTAGACAGAAAACCGTTATACACAGAATAAAAAAGAAACGAATCATGATAATTAGTTTTCATTTATTTTCGTTTACTTATAAAACAAATTCGTTTTCGTTATGTCTCAAATCAAATCATTACCAAATGATTTCATTTTCTCATGCCATAGTAATCATAATAATAACAATAGTAATAACATAAGTCAAAATCTTCAAGAGGTATGAAATAAAATCTTGAACGATATATAACATCAGTTATTTTTTAATCAGGATCTAACATATGAACATATGATATACATTCTGAACCGTCGTCATACAATTGAGAGTGATTTCATAAAAATGTTATATGATAGAATTACTCAGTTAAATATGGATTTTCACATTTGTGAACGTTTAAATATAAATATAAATGAATTTAGCAGTAGTTTTACATATGTTAACAACTATACTACTATTCATAATTATTTTGGTGTCAGTGATGATTCCGATGAAGAATCATATTTAGATCCACAAACTGAGGATATAGATTCCGATTTAGGTGATCATTATTATGACGACTTAGAAAATTTAATACTCGATGAAATTGAACTTGAAGATGCAGTTAATAATAATGATGATTATCATTTTAGCTGAACTTGCATTTTTGTATATATCCTTTCAGATATATTTTTGAACTCATTAATTATCGTTTTTCTGTTATTTCGTTTGTTCTTGATATTTTATTTGCGTATATCAATAAACTTGAACTATAATAATTTTGAAGTCAAACTCAGGATATGAAGATATGTCTAATTAAACACTTTTTCTCAAAGAGTTCTTTTCTTTTAATTTGTATTAATACTTGAGTGTTTGGTGTACAATAATGTTGACTATTAACTGACACAGTAAAATCCATGAAACATTTAATCTTGAATTTGTAAGCGAAATAAAAAATTCTATATGGAATAAATATACGACTATTCGTGGTCAGTATGACATAATACATTCCAGACATATTCAGGTATTGCCCCACGCACCTACGGTTCGATCATTCTTCTACAATCATTCGTCATAGACACTACCTGAATAGACACTACCTTCCTAATCATTCGGATCATTTCCTTTTCGAATAAAATAAAACGTATATCGTTTACTTTGCATACGAACTAACATTGGGTATCATCACTTTCTCAATGTTCTTTTGATCATACAATAATTTATCTTAATTTAACTTGTATCCACCTCAACTTTGAGCTAACTAACACTAACAAAAAACATTATCAACAATTTATCAAACTTCCTCATAGATGCCACTCATGTACAATAACCTAAACTAACCCTATATCATCCTCTAGTACAATTCTATTCGCTTATAACGAACATAGATGTCACTATATTACTACACAACTAAACTAGACATTCACCGTTTTATTTTTCACACTGAAAAAACCAATATATAAGGAATTCAAATACAATATAAAATGTATTATTCCGCATCAATGGAATAATGCCGATTCAAAATATACCTGACGAGTCCCTTAAGCAAGGACGAAACGCGTCGTAT